GTGGGCAGACAGTGAGCGGAACGGCCTTTTGCTCTGCCGCGTCCCTGTTTGCCACGGCTGTAAGAGGTGGCTGACAACTGTGAGAACGGTGGAAAGGATCGAGTTCTGATGCTTTTGTTTCTGCAGCTTAGGCGCTCCTCTGCACACCTTGTAATAAGTTGTAATTTCTGTTTGATTTGGATCTACAGATGGCGGGCGAGAAGGCGGCCGGTGAGAAAAAGCCAGGCGAGAAGGCGGCCGGTGAGAAAAAGCCAGGCGAGAAGGCGGCCGGTGAGAAAAAGCGGGGCAAGAAAAAGACAGGTGAGAAGAAACCGGCTGAGCAGAAGCCAAGCCAGAAGGAAGTCGGTGAGAAGAAGAAGAAGATTAAGAAGCATCATGCCAGCCGTAACCCTGTCCTGGCCCGGGGTATCGGGAGATATTCCCGGTCGGCCATGTATGCCAGAAAAGCACTGTACAAGCGCAAGTACACTGCTCCAGAAACAAAGGTAGGACAATAAATACCGTGGTTAAATAATCATGGTTTTCGTGGTGACTTTGGTTTGAAATTTCATACGTTTTCCCTTTTCTTTCCTTACAGATAGAAAAGAAGAAGAAAGAAAAGCCACGCGCAACCATCAGCAAGCCGGTTGGTGGAGATAAGAACGGAGGCAGCCGGGTGGTTAAAATCCGCAAAATGGTAAGGAAAAAGAACGGGGATGCTGGGGGCTCAAGGCCGTTGCCTGTCACTTTTGGCGAGATGACGCGCCTCTTGGCTGGGGCCATGTCGCTGCCTCAGCCGGTGCCGTATCCGTTAGGAAGTGAAGAATCCAGCCTGTAGTGAAAGCTCTCTGCCCCCTGCAGTCCAGGGCAGTACAATATGTTGCTCCTCTTTTCTAGCCCAGGTATTATCCCACCGAAGATGTTCCTCGCAAGCTTTTGAGTCACGGCAAAAAGCCCTTTTGCCAGCACAAGAGGAGGCTGCGGGCCTCTATCACACCAGGAACCGTTCTGATCCTTCTGACGGGCCGTCACAGAGGCAAGGTAAGCGGGGGCTGCTTCCCGCCGACTCT